TGATATACGCGAAGTTCTTGATTGTTACGGTAGTATTTTCGCTGCCGATTCAACAAAGTAATACTTCCTCAGCCTAATAGGACGTCTTCCAGGCTCAGACCTGAAACAAAAAACACTCGGTTAATAACTCTTACATCATGGCTTCTCATGCCAAAACGTTTAAACAAAACAAATGTGTAACGCAACCAGATATAAATTGAAAGTTTCATTAAATACGCCATTCCTAATTTCCGAGTTACTATTTTTCTCACGAAATTCGATAGAGGGCGTTCTCAAAGTACCCGGATGACAGTCCGTTCAACGTTCGTGGTGGGGTTGAAATTTGAGCGGCGTCTGCTGTAAGCAATATACTCAACGCCAGTGGATTCGAATGCGTCATTGGGAACCTGAGTGGACGCCAAACTATATTCCTGGGTTTGTTCACGGCATTTTCCATCCTGCGCCAGTATTTTTTTAGTTTAATAACTGGAGACAGCCCCGGGGGGTCACTCAATATTGAAACCTTACACCATGTGCGTTCTTGCTAAAAAATAAAAGGCCCCTAGGGCTGGCAGCACATTGGCTACCCATACCCCCTATTGCGGACGCAATGTAAATTTAGTACCCCCTAGAGCAGACATATTGAAGAAAAAAATACCCCCTATTTCAGACATATATTGAGAACATCCTACCCCCTATTGCGAGGATTCTCTGCCATGTTTTGCACTCAAGTGGAGTGTGATCAAGTCAAAAAAGTTACTGTGTATGCAACTCCTGTTGGTGTCATTCGTTGTTTGATGAAGAAAGATGAGAACTATTGACACGAGTGTGAATATCATCATTTATTTGATAGTTTAAAACACAATGCACACAACTTTGCCAGGATTCTTATTCCATCAGATACCATTACGCAATATTGATGTCCAGCTCCGAGTGGTTTTGGCATGAATACAGGGTAGAAAACCCAGAAAAAAGCAGGAGCTGAATGCGAATGAGGACGAGGCGCGAAAGAAGTGTGGATGACTCCGGGATGACTTTTTGTATGCGATTTATTGTAATCGACGAAACGAAACAAAACGGGATAACACACATATTGAAAATTAAACTGTAATCAGTGAAAATAGGTTTATACGCACAATATTTACAAAATATTTGCCGAAAAAAATAATATTTAATACCATATGGCTCGTCTCGCCAATTACAGATACCGGTAATACCGGTATTCAGCGAAACGAGGGTCTTACACGTACAATATTCACAACTGTCGGACAAAACTTGACCAGTATATTCACCTTTCAGTAGTGTATATAACGACAAAAAACTTTTGCCGAAAATAACGGGATTTTAATTAGTAAATGGTTCGTTTCGCTAATTATAGATAATTGTTTTATACAGTTTTATACACGACTGAAAGGTAAAATACTGCCCATGTTTCGTCCGATAGATGTGATTATTGTACCTTAGACTGGCAAAGTCAGGACTTCTTTTTTGTTTTACTAAAAAAGAAATAATTAATTGTTCTT